GTTGTTGTTTTATCTGTGCTGTATATACACTCAGAGTTTTGTTGTTATCTTGTTAGTGTCGTTGTCTTATTTGTTGCTGTATAAAAACACAGTTTATTGTTATTGTTATTGTTCTTGTTGTTATTTTTGTTTTTGTTGTTTTTGTTGTTTTTGTTTTTTTTTTATTTGTTGCTGCTGATAGATAGCCCTCTACTCATTCGTCTTTGTATAACAAAGCAATAGATATTACAGAGGCAATAAACACCATCAAAGAGGAGTTTAGGGTTTAGGGTTTAGTGTTTTAGTGTTTAACATTTATATATTCAGGGTTTTAGGGTTTATAATGCAGTGTTTATTATCTAGGGTTTAGGGTTTAGGGTTTAGTGTGTAGGGTTTCGGGTTTCGGCGGCCTCAGTGCTCTGTCACCCTCTTCCCGCGTTCAAACCCCACCCCGCGTATAAATATAAATATATTAAATATAAAAAAAAAGAAAATAAACAACAAAAAACCCTATTAAATTAAATAAAAAAGCGAAATTAACTCTAACATTAAGAATTCAAAAATTTTGATCAGGTGACCCTGCCCCCCGTGATGGGCGTTTGCATACAGATAGTTGCGGTATACTGGGTGGCCTCCTTCGGGAGCGCCATCTGTTANTACAGAGAAGATTAGCATGGCCCCTGCGCAAGGATGACACGCACAAATCGAGAAGTGTAACCAATTTTTTCTACTTTTTATTCTTTTTATTTACTTTATTTTGTTTTTTTATTTATTTTTTTGGCTGTAATACCTTCAGAATTATCTCAATGATTTATAGAAAGAAGAGGAAACTGAATCCCCTGCACAAAGATGACACACACATATCGAGAAGCTTTACTAAATTTTCGTAGTTTTTGTATTTATTTATTAGTTATTTTATTATATTTAATTGTATTTAATGCTATTTCGATAAATGTGAGGCAACTGCATATACACCGGAGAACGTGCAGAAAAGTATAGTCTGTGTAGAAAGATGACACCCGGCAAGTCAAAAACGATATCATTTTTATTTATTTTATTCATGTTTAATTAGCTGTTTAAAATAAATAATTACAGTTTGTGTTATTATAAGTTAATGAGCAATCGGAGGTGGGGTGGAGGGTGTGGGGTGTAATGCTGATACTATTTTTTGTATTATCTGCGTTCGTTATTCTAAACAATAAATCCTAACAACAAACAACCCTTTAAGCCGGTCTCTGGCGTTGCTGCTGATACCCACTGCTCCTGTAAAACCCACAAGGGAGCTGTAATATTGTTTTATTGTCTGCAGGGTGGCTGTGGAAGGTTAAGTAAGAGCTAAAGAACTCTCTATAGTGTCAGTGCATGCAGCCAATGAAATTTAGTTTGTCATTGTCTGTCCGCAGTTAGCACAGGGAGCATTCACGTGGTCACTTAGTAGGCTGATACAAATGCTCAATGGGTGTCTAAAGAAATAAAAAGATGCAGCAAAGAAAGTTAGGTCGTGCGTGCATATGAGGATGTCTTCCATCAGAAGTTGCATTGCAGCCACACAATTCAAGACTGCAGACACGTGAAAAAAATTAGGAATTGAAGAAGCTAGGCTTCGAGCACCGTTGCCAATGGAGCAAACAAAAGGATCAACGACCCCCCCGGGCCACCGCACAACTTGCGGCGTAGTGATGCGGACAAAGGGATGATAGCCTCACCCGCCATTCCACTTTTTCTCAACTAGATGGTTATACAAGTTCATATCAAAGTTCAGGGGTTTGTAGCGCTACTTGATACGGGATATGAAGTGGATCTGATATCAGAGGGTACGGCAAGGAGGTGCAACCTATTTTTCTCTTTGTTGGTGCAGCCCCTGAGACTGCGTCTTGCGGATGGCATTCACTAGACGAGAACCGGCAAAACTATGGGGGTAAGATGTGAGCAGCTAAATCTGAGAGGGTAGTAGATAATAAAAAAAAAATTAGTACAAAAGACTCCTACTTTAGACCCGTTCACCACGACATTATCCTAGCCATGCCGGGGGCGACGCAGCAGAGGGCGCAGACACTCCCCCTGTAGTAAACGCTTTTGTGATCAATACGGCAGGACCTAGTGAGGGTGTGCACCTTCGAGGGCTTCTAACAGGATTTGTATTCTCTACGGTACGAGGAGTGGAAACGATCTCCGCGGGAGAGATGAGCGAGGAAGCTGCTAGGCAGAGCAGAGGCGTTGCAAGCACCGATGGGTATAGCTGCATTCACCCCATAGCACTCGTCCTACGAAGCTGCAGTTTGGGGGGGATTCTACCCAGCTTAACACCCGATGAATAGCCTACGTGATTACAGTTGAAGGAAGGCTTCTCAGCTGTACTAAATAACAAACAGCTGCCAGTGGCCAGGCCACACGCTGCACGGTCAGCCCGCCGCATCGAATTCATTCCTGTCGCAGCCCCAACCTTTGTTTTATGATAATACACCCCCCCACAACTTGAAGAGAAATTTGAGGGGCAATCAGATGCCTTGCTAAGAAAAGGCAATACTCAACCGCCAACTGCAGCATTCAGAGACGACCCGGCATTGGCCTAAAAAACAGATGAGCGGCGCCGCATGCGTCTCGACTTTCAGCATCTCAAGAAAAACACAGCGGAGAAGAATTTTCTAATGCCCCACATCAGCGGTTGCAGAGTTCTACAGTATATCCATCGTTTGGCATTGCTGAGGCATTTGTAGANATGCCCCACATCAGCGGTTGCAGAGTTCTACAGTATATCCATCGTTTGGCATTGCTGAGGCATTTGTAGATCCCAATACACCCTGACCACCACAGGCACAGCATAAGACTGCGTCTCATACCCGTGTTCGGATACTAAAGTATTTCTCTTTACTCTTTGAGCTCGTCAATGCACATGCAGAAGTGTAGCGGGAGGTCAACCACGATTTCTTGGGATCAACGAATGAGTGATGGATGTTTATTTACATAGGCGACCTGTTGTTTGAGTGAGGGTGGTCTGCGTATTCCTACTTGCGCGCAGGCTGGCCACTCAGGGCCAGTTAACTGCTCAACAATATACAATAGTTTATAGTGTTATCGGGATTGATTGTGCATGCATGCAAGTTGCGTTGCTGCATGAGTTGCACCAGCGTATGCTGGAACTCGTGTCAGGCCGCTTCATCGCCCTTGGCTGCAGGCCTTTGGGCCACCGGTCGTAGGCTACCTGCTGACTGGCGAGAAAGGCAGCCGCTTCTTTGAACTCTTGTATTAAGCATTTTGGCTCTGTAACAACCCGCAACTCTCCTCGGATAAGGCTGAGGAGTCAGGCCATAACGCGTCTCAGGTGTTGTGCAACATATCTGGTGTTGTGTACTATCTGTTTGCCTTGAGCATTATTTATCAGAGGCAAATGAACTGTATTTGCATGCGTAGATGCTTTCCATACATGCTCTCCGTCCTTATTCAAGGAGCGAAGAGAGCTGCAATGAGGCCAAAGACTTGGTGTATCAGTTCCCCCCAAAACAGCTGACCTCCCTGTCCTGTCCCCAAGCATCCTGGGCGTTTATCTCATGGTCTCAGGTTGCTAGGGAGGAGACAGCCTAAAAGGAGTTCCAGTAAACCTTCTTGCCACTGCCGATGCAAGGTAGTGTAATGCCCTGGCTGTCAGCAGGGCGAGCAGCGCGGGTTGAAATACCCTACAGTTAGAACAGAAACCGAAACTCTTTTTTAGGATTTAAACGTTTCTGTTTTTGTCATAACTGTAGGGTACTTCACCCTCCCCTGCCTCCCATGCTGAACCCCAGGGCATTGCAGGTAGCCTCACAGGTTAGCGCAAGGAGTGCAGCTCCTTCTATATATGCCTGCTTGACCTGTGTATACACCTGAGGAGCGTTTGTATTTGCTTGCAGGCACCGTAGCAAGGCCAAGTGAAGGTTCTGTGCTAACTGCGAGCAGAACACGCTACAGCTGTTGCTTTCTTTCTTTTGCTGCTGTTCCACTGCAATAAAGTTGTATCGTGTAGGGGGTATCAGCAGGAGATCTACCCTCACGTGAACTCGCAGTTTATGCATGCATGAGCTGCTCTATAGATACATACATTTGCTGCATCATTTCTTTCATAATATATATTTTTTGCTGCTTCATGAGGCGTTGCTGTTTAGCGTGTACAGACACCCCACGTGGGTTCGATTCCTTGCCCTCGCCATCTGCACCGTAAGCAAATCATATCCTAAGCATATATTATTTCAATATTAAATTAAAACTAAACTT